TCAACCCCCTGAGGTTCATCCTGACCAGCATGGGCATCAACGTGGAGCGCCTGGTGGAGGGCTCCAGGAAGTGTGTGACCGAGGTGGGCCCGGACGCCATGGGGGCCATGGGGGCCGTGAAGGCGCTACTGGTGAGTGAGGCGCCTGCCACCTCCCTTGGTGCGCCGCCCTCCCTCGGTGAGCACCCCGTCTGCCCTCTAATCCCTGACAGGGCCACCCCGTTTTCCGCCCCCGTGGGCACTGGGAGGACCGGCCATATCTGAGCGAGGTGGGGCTGCGAGGTCCGGGGAAGGGGCAGGCACGCACAAGGGTCGCCACCTGTGCCTGTCCCCGCAGAGCAGGTGGCGTGGTCACCCGCGCAGGGAAACACTCAACCGTGGCTTCTTTCCAGGGAGCCCTGACCTACTTCGGCTGAGCAGCAGCTGGCGCACCCCTGCCCGCCCGGCGACCAGATGCTGCCGCCTTCAGGCCGGCACCTGCACCAGCCCCACCCGCGCCCTCCCCCTCAATAAACAGTTAAAAGCAGCTCTGGGCTGATGTCTTCTCGCCTCAATGCCCGTCCCTTCCCTGCTGTGAGCCTGTGCTGAAGGGAGAGGGGCTGGGCTGGGAGGGGCACAGAGGGCCATGTGCCCCGATGGAGGGAGAGACGGAAGGAGAGACTACTGACATGTGGCGGGGGGCACACAGCCAGCAATGAAAGGTGACAGGACTGGGCAAGTGGCAATTTAGACTGAGTTTGAAAACTCTGTTGGGAATTTTTCCTCGTTCTGGTCTGTAAATGTCCATGAGGCACGGGAATTATCTAACCCTTGACGATTAGCAAGAACTCTCCAAACAGCCCTGGCAGGTTTGGCTCAGTGGTTAGAGTGCCGGCCCGTGGACCGAAGGGTCTCGGGTTTGATTCCCGGTCAAGAGCACAAGAACACGTACCTCCGTTTCAGGTCCGATCCTGGCCCGGGTTGTGCATGTGCTGGAGGCAACCAAGCGATGTGTCTCTCTCACGTGGACCTTTCTCTCTCCCACCCGCCTCCCTCCCTCTAAAAATCAATGGAAAAACATCCTCGGTGACGATTAAACACAAAAAACCTCTCCAGACAACGCCATTTCTTGCTAATATTTGGAAGTGTTTGCTTTCCTCCCTTAATCTCAATTTCTCTCCTGGGAGGGGCAGGATTGAGGGCCATGAAAGTCTACAGACTTTTTGCTTTCCCTGTGGTTTCAGTGAAGTAACCTCATGGCTGAGGTTCCTTCTGTCTCCTGGAGGACTGTCCTTGAGGTGGGGAGGCCCCCTGGTGGGGAGGGTCCCGTGGTGGGGAGGCCTTGTGGTGGGGAGGGAATGCCCCCGGTGGGGGGCCCCGGGCAGAGCTCCTGTCCTCCGGGAATGCTGCCAGGGAGGCGGGCTGCTCATGTCACAGCCTCTAGCACACCCTACTTCCAGTTCCTGGGAAGGGCTCTCTGGGTCTTGCCCACCAACACACGGTGGACGAACCAGGTCATTTCCACCTTTTATGTTAGAGCCTGGGTCTGACTTCTGGTCCCCTCCTGTCTTGACAAGGAAAGCCGGGGATTTAATTTTCGGCCACTTTGACACATTCATAGTCAAACCACAACAGGAGGCCACTTGCATCCAGATAACATCCACATCGTGGTCAGAGGGCGCCGGAGACTCCCAGGGTCCTGCGCCGAGTAAAGCTCTGCTCTGGGCAACGAGGCGGTGGGAGAGGACGCCCTGCCCAGCGCGGGTGCGGAAGGCGGCGGGGACCGGACCTCGCTGGCCAGTCGCTCCCCACATCACACACCCAGGCTCTCGTGGCCGGGCCGGTAGCAGTCCCTGTTACGCTACAGGAATCGCTGGGTCTGCCGTGGGCTTGACAGAGTTCCCATCGCGAGTGGCCCGGCGGCCTCGCACCTGGAGAACCTCCCCCGGTTCCCCGCAGTGCTTGCAGGAGAAGGAGACCCTGAGAATCATGGGAAGCCCCAAGGCCACCTGCCAGGTCTAGCTTCCCGCCTTCTGCAGGTTCCTGGGAAAAGAGACCAACCATAATCCTGGGGAAGAGAAAGCTATTTAAATAACT